ATATACCAAATAAAATTGATATTCATTAAAATATGCCTGCCCCCTAAATAAATGGAACAACCCATGTGTGGAAGCTGTTTATTGGCTTATGTTAAATAAAAATAATATTGAGTGTTAAAGGCCTATGTTAATGTCAAAATTTAAATAAAACATACAAGTGAATGTTCGTGTACCGTTGTATTTTATTAATAGGCCTAATTAGGTGCTAATTTTTAACTGACCCAAACAAACATGTAGTGTACAGAAAACAGTATTCTTATATATTTTTTGTCGGACACATCGTATCCCCGTCTGCCAAATTCTGCCGCTACCGGTCCCGTTCAGAAATAAAATCAATTCACTTTGTTTCGTATCGATATTCTTACTTTGTCATGAACGGAAATAAACTGTTTGAAATAGGCATATACCTCCAGTTTGCATTACTGCAAATTGCCTAATAACAGTGAATTCAGTGAGAAACGTTCCCACACAAGTAGGTTCCCACAATCAGGAGAAGCATGAGAGAAGCAGACACAAGGTCAATCACATACAGTAGTCTTCTGTTTAAGCGCCGCCAACTCAGGAATGTAGACGCTCTAGTGTCTGATCTGATTCTTTGAACGCCGCCTTCAGGAATGTAAACGCGCTGCTGCTCCGCAAGAAGGGAGCCGACTGCCTTGTTCAGCAATATATGTGCCATGGTTTAACCATTTTTAAAACATAATAATATATATAATAATACAAACATGTATTAAATTCATATAGCCTACACAGTAAAACACAATGCCGTAGCATACGTTGTTCTACGAGCGATATCACGTGGCATCACGTGATCGCCACAACGAACTTCTTCAACTGCGGCTGATCCAAGTCATGCTGTATTGTGCGGGCTGTGCAGGCACGTGGGAATTAGAAAGTTGGGCAAAAGGTACTTGTTTTGATAGGTCAATTCGAACATCACACATTATAATAAATATATATATATATATATATATAATAAAAATATATATAAATTCATATAGCCTACACAGTAAAACACAGTGCCGTAGCATTCCGCCAACTCAGGAATGTAGACGCTCTAGTGTCTGATCTGATTCTTTGAACGCCGCCTTCAGAAATGTAAACGCGCTGCTCCTCCGCAAGAAGGGAATAGCCGACTGCCTTGTTCAGCAATACAAACATGTGCCATGGTTTAACCATTTTTAAAACATAATTAATATATATAATAATACAAACATGTATTAAATTCATATAGCCTACAAAGTAAAACACAATGCCGTAGCATACGTTGTTCTACGTGCGATATCACGTGATCGCCACAACGAACTTTTTCAACTGCGACTGATCCAGGTCAGTGTTTACATGCTGTATTGTGCGGGCTGTGCAGGCACGTGGGAATTAGAAAGTTGGGCAAAAGGTACTTGTTTTGATAGGTCAATTCGAACATCGCACAATATAATCTGGGTAGCAAGATGTGTATAAACCTACAGGTAACGGTAGGGCCTAGCCTACTAAAATACAAGAAACATTGGGGTTTCCCCAACAAGAAAAATAATTAAATTTAGGCCTTATTATAAACATTTCTTCGTGAACTGTCACCTAGCGTAGACTAGCATCTTACTACCAGGCTACTACTATTATAAATATAGGCCTAGGCCTACATAGCCTAGGTACGGTAGGGACACTGAACAAGTTTTGAAGTTGTTTAAATCACGATCAAATTCCAAATTTCGCTGAACGCGTTTAACAT